CCAGAACACCAGATGGTGTTGGAGTCTGGCCCGGCTTGGTGCATCCAATCCCAATCCATACTTGTGCCAAGGGAGACTACAACCGTATCCTGATCAGAACGCAGCCCTCAGTCCAGCCCACGTGCCCGTTGGTGGGAACTTCAACCCAGTTAGGGTGTCTGCTTAGCTCCCCAACCGGGCCTGTTGCCAGCCATAGATCATGTGCATGGCAGTGGTTGCTCTGACTCAGCTTGGCTCAGCCCCTCACCTGTCCTGACCTCTGCCTTAGATACTATGGATTAGCGTCCCTGTCTCACACAGAACAGTAGGTACAAGAGCCTAATTTGGGGCCCGGCGTGGTGGCGCAAGTGGTTAAGGTCCTCACCTAGCACGCCTGGGATCCCATATGGGCGCCGGTTCTAATCCCGGCAGCCCCGCTTCCAGCTCCCTGCCTGTGGCCTGGGAAAGCAGTCAAGGACGGCCCAAGGCTTTGGGACCCTGCACCCGTGTGGGAGACCCGGAAGAGGCTCCTGGCTTCGGATCAGCATAGTATCGGCCGTTGCGCTCACTTGGGGAGTGAATCATCGGATGGAAGATCTTCCTCTCTGTCTCTCCTCCTCTCTGTATATCTGCCTTTCCAATAAAAACATAATAAAAATAAATCTTTAAAAAAAAAAAAAAAAGAAAAAGAGCCTAATTTGGCATGGCCAGTGCTCCATCCTGGTTTCTAATTTTGCTTGTGGGCTAAGGTTTGCTCAGTCCTGCCCAGTCCACCCCATTCCATTACCAATTCACACATTAGCCAGCTGTTGGAGCTACTTTGCCTAGCTTGTCCGACCTCCAGGTCTGGACCACATGTTCACCAGTGGGAGCTATGGCTTGCCAGGGGAGTTTCCCAAGTTCCTCCACTTGATCCACTCCCAGACCCAGTTCTCATACATGCCGTTGGGTTTTAGGCCAGTGTCCAGCAAAGTCTAGCCTTCCACTTGGCCTTGTGTGAGTTGGTGAATGTTGCAGCTCAGCCCACCCCACATCCTATTCAGGATGCACATTCAGGTGCTGCTGCCTTGACCAGTCCAGACTATTGTTGATTCCTTTACATGTGATTGATGGCAGGCTCCTTGGTCACACCTAGCTTAGTCCATCACCACCCCAACTCTGGAGATAACCAGTGGGGCTAGAATTTCCACAGGGTTTGGCCCACACATCCCCCACAGAATTTGCCCCCGGTTATGGTTCTTGAGTGCTAGTTAATGTCATGTCCCTGCCTAATGTGACCCGTCTCCTGATCCATCATCATGTCAGGTAATAGGATATGATCCTACTAGACAATCCCTGAGCCTTAGCTTTTGAATGAACTGGTGTTCGGTACTTAGCATTGTTCAGTGATTGTTCAGTTCTTGAAAGGAAAACTTACTCTGTCATTGGGAATCTTTAGGATTGATTCACAGCCTAATGCACAGTGGGTTCAATCTGGAGCTGCCTTAGCAACGATTCAAAGATTCAAAACCCCAGAGCTTCCAGCCAGGTGACCATCAGGTGGAATCTGGTGCCAAATGGTGCACTGGCCACCTGGGCACAGCTCACCACGTGCACGCGGTGGCTGGAGTCAGGGATCTGAGCATGGAGACACCCCGGCCTGGCACCCCCCCCCAGCAAACTGGAAGGCTGCAGGAAGTTTAAACTCCCAGGCCCAAGGTCGCGCCCCTCCCCAATCCCATCCACTGTTCAATGAAGGCGGTGGGCCCCACGCCCACCCAGCCCCCAAGGCTTCCCACCTCGGTATATTCACCCTGAAGGGAGCAGTCCCTGGAGCCCAGGCATGGCCCGGGACAGCTCACCACGTGGAACACACAGTGGCTGGAATCATTCACTTTTCACTTCTATTGCTTCCATATTTTCTCAGAACTTACGATCCCAATCACTGTACTGCTTTGTACTTTAACATGCTAAATAACTCATTTATTTTTTAATGCTTGCTCTTCAATTTTTCTCCCCTGGTCAGTATGTTGCATCTCTGTGGTCAATGACCTCTGCGTTTAGTTCTCCGCTGTGTCCACAAGTACCTAAAACATATACATCAAGGCCAGTATGGTGGTGTGGCCAGCTAATTCTCCATTTGCAGTGCTTACATCCCATCTGGGTGCCAGTTCATGTCCCAGCTGCTCCACTTCCCATCCAGCTCCATGCTTACATCCTGGGAAAGCCCTCAAGATGGCCCAAACCCTTAGGGCTCTGCACCCACATGGAGGACCTGGAACAAGATCCTGACTCCTGGCTGTGGATAAGCTCAGCTCCAACCATGGTGGCCATTTGGAAAGTGAAGCAGCTGATAGAAAATTCTCTCTCTCAGTGTCTCTCTAAATCTTTTTAAAATAAGAATAAGTACATCTTTTTAAAAGAAGTGTATATTGGGGCCTGGCATGATAGCATAATGGTTAAAGTCCTCGCCTTGAACACACTGGGATCCCATACGGGCGCCACTTCTAATCCTGGCAGCCCCGCTTCCCATCCAGCTCCTTGCCTGTGGCCTGGGAATGCAGTCGAGGATGGCCCGAAACCTTGGGACCCTGCACCCATGTGAGAGACTCGGAGGAGGTTCCTGGCTTCGGATTGGCTCAGCTGTAGATGTTGCAGCTGCTTGGGGAATGAGCCATCGGACGGAAGATCTTCCTCTCTGTCTCTCCTCTCTGTGTATCCATCCGCCTTTCCAATAATAAATAAATAAATCTTTTTTTTTTTAAGTGTGTATTGTAGGTGTCCAGTGAATGAATAACTGTCAGGTGGCAGTGTGCAGGCTGATTGCTTAGCAACCTCTTGTTCCAGGCAGAGAGCACAGAATGAGCCTAACAGAAGGCTCAGAAGCAGAACTGCAACCGGAAGGGTCACACTGATGCTGAGCTGCAAATTCACACGGCAACCCGCGAGATGAGTAACCCGAACCAGAAAGGGTATCTAGCACTCAGCACCCAGGAAAGTGGCAGAAGTTAGTGTGTGTGGCGGGGGGAGAAACCCCAATTAAGACAGATCATGCATTTTCTTTCATTTCGTGAAATGAAACTAAAAGCAAATATTAGGAAATGATGTTTAAAGAAAGAAACATAAAGGGGCCTGAGCAATGGCTCAACTGGCCAATCCTCTGTCTGCTAGCATCCCACACGAGCGCTGGTTCATGTCCTGGCTGCTCCACTTCCCATCCACCTCCCTCCGTGTGGTCTAGGAAAGCAGTAGAAGACAGCCCAAAGTATAGGAACCCTGTGCCCATGTGGGAGACCCCAAAGAAACTCCCGGCTCCTGGCTTAGCTCCGGCCATTGCATCCATTCGGGGAGTGAACCAGCCAATGGAAAATCTCTCTGTCTTTCCTTCTCACTATAAATCTACCTTTTAATAAATCTGGGCCCGTCATGTACAGCTAAAGTTCTTGCCTTGAGCATGCCAGGATGCCATATGGGCACAGGTTCTAATCCCGGCAGCTCCACTTCCCATCCAGCTCCCTGCTTGTGGCCTGGGAAAGCAATCGAGGACAGCTCAAAGTCTTGGGACTCTGCACCGCGTGGGAGACCTGGAAGGAGGTTCCTGGCTTCTGGCTTCGGTTCAGCACAGCACCGGCTGTTGTGAGTCATCGGACAGGAGATCTTCCTCTCTGTCTCTTCTCCTCCCTGCATATTTGACTTTCCAATAAAAATAAAATACATCTTTTTTTAAAAAAAAAAGAAATTTTTTTAACAAGAAACATAAAACCAATAAATATTAGATGGCATTATAGAGAATAAATTTAACTGGGTCAATACCGTGCTATATCAAGTTAAGCCTCCAGCTGCAGTGCCAACCTCCCAAATGTGTGCTGGTTCAAGTCCCGGCTGCACCACTTTTGATCCAGCTCTCTGCTATGTTCCTGGGAAAGCAGCAGAAGATGGCCCAAGTGCTTGGCCCCTTGTGCCCAGGTTGGAAACCCAAAAGAAGTTCCTAGCTCCTGGCTTTGGCCCTGCCCAGCCCTGCCATTACCTGGGGAGTGAACCAGCAAGAATCAAGTGCCTAATCTACATTTATTCCATTTTTTTTTAAACCAAAAAATTTTCTGTCCGTGGGCCAGTTTCCTCAACTGGAAAGTAGGGCACAGAGCTGGCCTTCGTCAGACAAGTGTGGGACTCTTAAAAATTATGCAATAAAGTCAATATTTATTTAGAGCAAGTAAAATTATGTAATAAAGACAAAATTATGTAATCGGGTCAATATTTATTTAGAATGAGATAGGAAATCATTAGAGGTTTTAAAATGCTGGCAAAACCTCCGACATCACAACATAACATTATTAACTGCCTCACAACCACCGCGAGTTGCCCTCCTCCCCTTTCAAATGTTGCATCCCATGTCTCCTCCGCGGGATCTTTTAATTCCAGCTTCAGAGTAGAACGACAAATTAGTAAACAAGAAAACAGAGTTTTAAAACGGGATCGTTTAGAAACTTTGCATCAGCTTTCCACCTCTCCACTCGCACGAGGTGTTTTCCTGCTGGGATCAGGCCCTGGAGGGAATGGCCACCAAACGGGCAGCCAAGATAGCCGGGTCGGGTCCTCGCAGCCTTCCTCATCCACCTCACCCAGCGCCCACCGCGCACGGTGGAAGGCGACTTGCAAGAACCCGCCTTCCCCAGGCAGGCGGATGGGCAGGTGGTCCCGGCAGTGTGTTCTCGAACCGCGCGAGCTCCCCGGATTTATCAGCAGGGCCCGGGACTGGCCGGTCCGGGCGGCGGAGGCCCCTGACTCGGCAGCCGCGCAGGCGGAGCCCGCCCTTCCTCGCTCCGTCCACTAGGGGCGGTGGCGGCCCGAGAGCCGCCCTCACTACGGAGGAAGAAGGCGGAGACCTTTCCCAACCGCGGCGGACGGTGGCCCGAGTCTTGATGGACAAGCGAGGTAGCTAATGACTGTGAGGTAAACCGTCGCTGTTTATGCACGCACAGCCAATGGCAAGGCAAAGGCTAGCCAGTGGCCAATGAGGAGCGACCTTGAGAGAGGGGCGGATGCCGTATAAAATAGCCTGGCGCCGACGCCGGGAGTGTCAGAGCACATCCGGTGTTGGGAGAGCTGCCAGGCTCTTGAGAGGAGGGCTACGAAGGTAACGTCCGGGCCCGGCTGGGGTCGGGCCGGCCGGGAGTGAGCGGTGGGAAGGAGACCGTCCTGGCTGAGCCGAAAGCGGAGTCTCCCGGGCTGGCGGAGGGGACGGGGCCTCGTCCGCCGTGCGCGGCGGGGCGGGTAGGGGCGCTCGCGCCGCGCAGGCGCCGGCCCGGATGGGGGGTGGGGTTCCGCGGCCGGCGGGGCTCGCGCGGGGCGGCGGGGCGGCGGGGCGGCGGGGCTCCTCGGCCCGTGCTGCCCGGCGTGTCCGGCCGGCCGTGATGTCACGCTCCTCTGTGACATGGGAGGAGGCTCCGGGGTGGCCGGGCAGCCGGCGGCCGCACCTGCTTCCCAGGGCCCCCGGGGCAGCAGCCCCGCTCCGGTCCGACCGGTTGGCTGTGGACGGGTGAGGCGGCGTCGCCGGGACCTGCTGGCCGCAGCCGCCCTGGGATTCTTTGGTTTTTGTTGCTGAGCTGTGAGCACGGCTCTGCATCGCCTGCCCCGGGAGCAAACCGCTCTCAGGTGGAGAAGGTCCAGCGGCGGGTCACCTGTGAATGAGTAACCCGCCGGACGTGCCCACTGGGGCTAAAGGTGAATGGCGGATGGGCTTGGCTCCTTGTCGCTTGCCCGAGACCGACGTGAAGTTAATTCGGGAATGATTATCCGTATTTTACTACCGCATTTTTTTTCTTCTTACGGATCTTTGCGCGCGCCCTTCGTTTCTGCCATTTTTTAGAACACTTCTCGGTGTGTGTGTGTGTCTAGTGTTTTGTTTGTCGTGACTTCGGCAGTATGCGAAGACTCAGCTTCTCTGCTGTTTTCTTGCAGTAATACTAGAACGGCCGAGTCCTTGAGAAATTCAGCCTGTTTCCTTCCTGCGTTATTCATCTTGCTGTGCGGACACGGCTTTGAGCTTTTGCTTTTCTCTCTCTTCCGCGCTGTTGATCTGATGGACTCTTACTCCTCTAAAATGGGGAAAGGCCGTGTGTAACCCGGATACCGAGCAGTTCCGGGTTTGTTGGTTTGGTTTTCACCCTGATAATGTGGGTTGTGCTGCTTGTAGGAATGAATGCTGGGAAGTAATGAAAGTACAGAGAAGTGTGTCAGGCCTCGGCGTGTGTCTGGTTGGTTTGTTTTTGGGATTTCCCTTGCCCTGGGCTCGGGACTGAGGGAGTGCGGGCTTCTTCACGGGTGGAACCAGGCACGGGTGTTGAAAGGGCTGTGTTAACTTCTTGGTGTTGTCGAGTGTCCCACGGCTGCTCTTGTCGGCATGCCGGTATTAATCATAATGTCAGATGACCTGAAATGACAATTACTTTTGCTCTGGGTTAAGTGGTACAGATGGCAGGACTTGTGACACCAAAGCCAGTGCCTTTGAAGTTGGGTTGATTTGAAGATGAAAGGGGAGAGCTTGTAAAAGCACACTGGAAGCTGTGAAGTGTTCTGTGACCAGTCAGGCCTGAAGACTTTCACTGGGTTTCATAAACCACCCAAGGGTATTGCTCTGCCCTGGGGAAGCTGCTGAACAGTCCCAGGGGGCCCTGGCCCCAGACTTCTCCTTTGCCAGTTTGGCTTGGCTGTCCAAGTATCTTCCACATCACCCTGTTTGTGTTCTCCCACAGTTGCGTAACCAAATCTGACAGAACCATTACGGCTTTTATATTAGACAAGTTTTTGTTCCAAGGACCGTGTATGCCAGATCGGGCCCTTTGAGTGACCCACTGGAGTAGGTGCCACCGTGAGCCTGCTCGGGACCGTCTGGGAGCCAGCCCCGGGGAGTGGGCTGTGACCCACTGGAGTAGGTGCCACCGTGAGCCGGCTTGGGACCATCTGGGAGCCAGCCCCGGGAGTTGGCAGTGAGCGGTGCTCCTGGGGGCGAGCAGCTCCCGCAGGGGAGCTGGAGGGAGGCACCGCTGGCCCCAATCACTGCGGTCACTTGTCCTAGTCTGAGCTGGCTCTCCCTGGGCTCAGTCATTAGGGAGGGATTATTGATTTATACCCGAAGAAGATTATGTATTTAGGGCACTGGCACCTTCTTGGGGTTCAATATCTGTCAGACAGGTTGTGGATATGGGGGAGAGATTCAAAAAGTGCTGCATTTGGTAGGAAAAATGGTTTATTGGCAGTGGTGGACATTCCATGTGTGCCCACTGGCTTGGCTTTGCTGCAGTCCCCCGTAGGAGTGGGTTGAGTGTTAGCTGATTTGGAGACATTGGTTCAAGTGACAAGGAGGTACCCTCATCTGGGGTGAGCAGAGCCCAGCCCAGGACAGACAGAATTCCCTGGGTTATTCTGAAATGCAGCTGCCTGGGGGCAGGAGAGCATCAGCCTAATGACCACTGAGCTCATCAGGTGCTGGGTTATTAGGCTGCCTCACAACGCCCTGTGGCCCGGTGGGACAGGAGTCGCAGAGAAGGTGTGAGACACGCTGCTTAAACACCACCAGTAAGATTGCTCAAATTCCTTCAGTTCAGTTTATACTTTGTTACCACCCCCACCCCCCATTTAATTTTACTGTCTAATTTGGGTGCATAGTATATTTCTATTTTGTAGCCAGCTGTTAGTGATTGAGCAACATTTTCTGAGGAATTAATCTGCAAGGCATGTGTAAACTAGGCCTAGGATAAATGTCCTGTGAAACTAGACCTTGAAAAGGAGAGGGAGATGCAGTGAGAATGGGCGTAGTGGATGCCGACAGCAGTGGCAGTGGTTTCTGCGTGTTCTTGCTTTCAGCTGCGCCAGGTGAGAGTATTGTGTGTCACTGTTTGACAGAAGGTGGAACTGAACGCTTGCAGGAAGTGCTGGCCAGGGCACAGAGCACCAAGTCATGATGCACCTTGCTGCGGAGACAGGGCGCTGCAGGGCCGGGCGGCCTCTCCTGAGCACTGCCTGGGGCTTTTCTGTGTCTCACTTTAGTGCTTTGGGTACCTGAGGACATACACACAGGTCAGAGTGGTTGAATCAATCAGGAAGAAATAGTCTTAGAACTCACAAACTAGTATTTCCTTGAATGTGTAGACAGTGTTCTGATGACCTGCTAGTTTCATGTTAAATGGTATGCTGGCAGGCAGCGTCTGCCTGGGTCGCATTCACCTGGCTTTGTTTTTTCAGACACAAGGATTTTTCTTTTTTCTTTTTTTTTTTTTAATTTTATTTATTTTATTGGAAAGGCAGATGTACAGAGAGGAGGGGAGACAGAGAAAAAGATCTTCCATCCGATGATTCACTCCCCAACTGGCCACGACGGCCAGTGCTGCGCCGATCTGAAGCCAGGAACCAGGAACTTCTTTCCAGGTCTCCATGTGGATGCAGGGTCCCAAGGGTTTGGGCTGTCCTCGACTGCTTTCCCAGGCCACAAGCAGGGAGCTGGATGGAAGCAGGGCTGCCAGGATTAGAACCGGCGACCTTATGGGATCCCAGCGCATTGAAGGCAATGACCTTAACAATTACGCTGTCGCAGCATGCCCAGAGTTTTTCTTAATGCATACTAAATACGGGGTCATTTCTGTTTTGGAGAGATTTGGCAGGTTCCATGTGTGTCCTATGCACTGTGCTGGAATAAGGGTACAGAAAATGATTTCACGTTTTTAATGGTTAAGACTTGAGCCTTGACGGTTTTTGTTTTAGGACAGGAGTAAGGAGGATGTCTGGAAAAGCAGCAAGGACGGTAAGCTGTGGCTGGCCACTGGTAGTGACTGCCTGCCCTGTCGCACCTTCCTCCCCACGCAAGATGCCTGACGTGGAGCGTGGCTGCTCTCCTTGGCACAGCCACGAGTAAGCTGGTAGCTCTTGGGGTGCCTTGGGGTGCTGTGGCAGAGGAGTCTGGCATGGGCTAAACACAGGGTGATGAGAGTAAACACAGTCTAGCAAGAATTACATGAGCAGTTGTGATTGGTTGTGACAGCGCTGGATCCGCTGCTGCTCTGAGGATGGTGGTATTGAGTGAGGCCCTGAAGCAAGTGGAAGGGATTTCCTTGTAATTAACGCCTGCGCTGGTTTCTCCCAAGCAGATGCAGCATGGATTCCTCACTCCTCCCCAACCCAGGCATTGTCCACACAGTATGCTTTGTAAATGCCCTGCCTTCTTGTTTTAGAGTGTTTAAGACCTGGGAAATGAGAGCAGATCCGTGAAATGGGGTACATTGTAATAGGCTTATATACAAAACGACTATTGGATTTTTCAGCAATTTGTATAGTAAAACACACATGATAGCATTTGAATGTACTCTGTTCTTAGGTGAATTTTCACTTTTTCTGTGGCCGTCCTCAGCTCCCTAGACTGAGTTACTTGGTCAGTGGTTCTGAGTCTGTTGAGTTCTGCTAAGAGCTGTTAGTTCCTGGGGCAGAAATGGTTGCAGTGGAAAGCTGCTCTTTCTGAGCTCTGGTGCAGTTTAACCTGGTTGTGCTGGGTGTGCATGTGAGCCTTTGAAAATATTATCTCTTTTCTGTATGGCTGTGTGGTCAAAATTGAGGGTACAGTTGTATCTTTATTAGTTATCTGTACATTAGTTCTTGTCTGTTTGGAACAGATCTAGAGCAAGTTGTCCTGCTTCCCTGATTCTAAGGCCTGTTTTTTCTCCTCAAGTTTTAATATTTCTGAAATAGATTGTCATATCTGTTAAGTAGATCTTTATTTTCTTTCCTGTAACTGTTACTAAAACTACTGTGTACTCTCACAACTATAAAACATGATAGTTAAATATTTCAGTAAATGCTGTTTGTGTATGAATTCTGGCTGCTGGTGAATGAAGGTTAAATCGCAGCTGGACACCTCCCTGCACACCCTGACAGGCTGCCATGCTTTTGACTTTCCCATCAACAGTTGTAGCAGCCCCGGAAAGAGGCGGGTCAGTGCCACCTGGGAAATCAGACAGCCAGACGCTGTGGGGTCTGCTTGCATAGGTGTTGCCCCTTTCTCACCAAGGAGCCTCTGGGCTTTTGAGGGGTAACCACCATTTCCCTGACGTGGTTCTTGAAATTGGCAGTAAGAGCTACTTTGGGTTGCCGCTGTGTTGGCTCTGAAGGTTGCTTCAGGGTTGCTGCATATTCTCTCTGGGGATGTCATTAAGGGTGTTAATGGAAACCTTAAACCAAGACACTTCCCAGGTGCTGGATTCTGCCCGCCTCTAAGGGTGCTCCCTGGAGAGCACGGTCAGCCTTCCTTGTGGCGTGTTAGGCTGTGGCTGGCCTCGCAACAGCCTGCAATAGTTGCACCATCTAGATCAAGAAGGCCCACAAGCTGTGACTTAGAGGGAGAGCAAGGCTTTGGTAGGTTCTCCACTGCTTCCTGCTGATTTCATCCTGAAGAGCAGAACTAGGCACAGAAGTGAGGTGAGTGAGCCAGCCGGTCAAGGAGGGGAGGGCCTGTGTGTTGGAGAGAGCCTTAGGAGGCAGTCGTGAGGCCTGCCCCTGGCCAGGACTCCTCAGGAAATTGTTAGGAGGTTGCAGTTTCTGAGAGGGCTGCACTCCCATGCACCGGTTCGCTTCCCAAAGGTCCGAAACAGCTGGGACTAGGCCAGAAGTCAGGAGCCAGGGCGTCCATCCGGGGCTCCACGGAGACTCCGTGAGCCCCCTCGGATGCAGGGCTGTGGTGAGGTGTGCACCCTAGCAGAGCCGCCACTGGGGGCTGGAGCTTTTATTGCTGGTGAGGATGGCATGAGCAGTCCGCCTGCCTTTCCAATAACTCATCTTTTGTGTGTGAAACCCACTCCCCTTTGGTAGGTTTTAAATGGACTGCGTTATGAATCTAATTTGGAGGATTTGTCTTTGGAAAGATGAGAACTGATTGAACCCTTAGTTGTACAGGTGGGGTATGTTTGTGTCGGATTGCATGTGAGCTAGGGGAGGGAGCAGGACCTGAAAGCCTGACTCAGCGGTACTGATGTAGTGCAGCCTGTATGTGCCCGTTCAAGTTCTGTTTCTCGTGAAAATGGGACAGTTAGCAAAACCTGAGTAAGGGCTGTGTGTGGATGAAATCATAATGCTACATCAGTGTGAATTTCCTGATCTTGATGGTTGCTTTTGACATGTGAAACTCAAATATTTAGAAGTGTAGTGTCTACATAGTTTGTGGAGAATGTTTCTAGTCTTCAGGGAGGATAAAGTAAGTGTAGTGGAGTAGTGATGTTACGAAGTCTGGGTGAAGAATGCGCAGGGCTTCTTTGTACTGTTCCCACCTTTCTGTGGATAAGGTTCTGAGACTGTGTCAAAATGGTGAAAAGTCTTTCTGCCTAAATTTGCTCTCAGAGGAAAACCATTATGAGATGTACTAAATAAACAGTTTTCTAGTGTGATGGTTTAAAACGCAAGTCCTAGTACACTATCCCACTTCATCGCGTTTCTTTCTCATGCCTTCACTGGGGGGCTCTGGCATCCTGAAACAGTGGTGTGAAATTGCTGCGTGAGCTGGTGGCTGATCGCCTTGACTAGACTGCTGATTATCTCTCTGACAATCTGGTTTTAAAGGGGCAAAGTTTTCTTCTAAGAGAGTAAAATCAAAGAAAATCTAAAAGAACAAGGGCGGGGGAAGGGCTTCACAAAGTTCCTGGAAGTGTAATTAAAAGTGAAGCTTGTTTTGGTGCAATAAGTTGTAGCTCCAAGGATAGCTATTTCATAAAGTCTTTATTTTCCATTAACCTTTTGAAAGTCCCTAGTATTTAACAATGCAGGTGGTTCTGATGAGATACTTTGAGTTTTTCCAGCTTGTCTGTTGTTTCTTAGCGGGGCAGTGTGTTACTTGCGCCTTCACAATGGCCCTTTGTTCTTACTCCACAGAGCAGAGGCTGTGTCCCACAGACTCGGGAACCATGAACGTGTTTGATCGGAAGATCAATTTTGATGCGCTCTTCAAGTTTTCCCACATGTGAGTGCCTTGCTCCTGACTGCATTGTCACCGTTCATGCCTGGCTTATTCCCTTTTCCTAGTGTATTGAGTTTTGTATAAGAAAAACTAACAAATACGTTTGGCTAAAACCCAGAAGACCGAATAGAAGCACCCACATGCTGCCGGCTGCTGTGTGATGATGTTGGGTACTAACTGTTGATTACTTTTAAGCTTTTGGCTCTCCCCCAAATTTTTCTTTTTTTAAGATTTTAAAATTTTTATTGGAAGGGCAGATGCACGGAGAGGAGATACAGAGAGAAAGACCTTCTGTCTGCTGGTTCACTCCTCAACTGGCTGCAATGGCTGGAGCTGAGGAGCCAGGAGCCGGGATTTTAGCTACTGCACCACGCTCAATAAATAAATCTTTAAAATTTTTATTTAGGGGCCCAGCGCGGTGGCGCAAGTGGTTAAGGTCCTTGCCTTGCACGCCCGGGATCCCATATGGGCGCTGGTTCTATCCCGGCTGCCCCGCTTCCCTTCCAGCTCCCTGTTTGTGGCCCGGGAAAGCAGTAGAGGACGGCCCAAAGCTTTGGGACCCTGCACCTGTGTGGGAGACCCGGAAGAGGCTCCTGGCTTTGGATCGGCATAGCATCAGCCGTTGGGCTCACTTGGGGAGTGAATCATTGGACGGAAGATCTTCCTCTTTGTCTCTCCTCTCTGCATATCTGCCTTTCCAATAAAAAAACATAATAAAAATAAATCTTTAAAAATTTTTTTTTTTTATTTAGCCTGTTTCAAAACATTTTTATGTGTGTTATTTAATGTATCCAAATTCTCTCAAGCTGTTTGTAATGCAGCTTTCACATATTCTCCGGGAAGGATGAAGTGAAGTTACTGTTAGCTTAGAGATGAGATTAGTGCAGGAGTGATGACTGCTGTCGCTGCTTTTTCCTAGAACCCCCTCGACACAGCAGCACCTGAAGAAGGTCTATGCCAGCTTTGCCCTCTGTATGTTTGTGGCGGCTGCCGGGGCCTATGTCCACGTGGTCACTCACTTCATTCAGGTAAGGACATCCTTCTCTCCTGGTTGCGATGATACTGACTGCCTTAGGAAGGAGCTCGCTCCACAGCGTGTGTTGCCCTTTCTTAACCCGACTCCGTCGTCTGGGGTCTGACCTCAGCCAGCCGTTCATCAGGACATGTGGAGCCATTTCGATTTTCTGGCAGAAAGCAGTGTGTCTTAGCATTGGCACCGAGCAGCCGCTGAGGCGTCTGCGCACTGAGGGAGGCGTGAGTGCGGGCTGGGAGTCTCCTGGACAGTGGCCTTTCTGTCCTTTGCCCCCTCCTTCCTCTCTGCCCAGGTGCCTGTGCAGTGTGGCTTTGACTGTGAGCTGTCACCTCGTGTTGGGGGCAGCCCTCCACAGCTCCTCTTCCAACACTGTGGAGGAGTTCCAGCAGGCTCAGAGGACAAGTTCTCATTGCCCGAGCCTTGTCTGTTTTCAGTAGCTTTTTTAGCAGGTGCCTGGGACGCGCCCATGTTGGCGTTTGGCACTGCAGAGGAGACACTGTCCTCGCGCTCAGGACCTGGCACCTTGGTGCTTACTTGTCCTGCAGGTGGAATGTGCTTGAAGCACTTGTCACCGTGGTTCTTTCTCAGGACTCCCTCGTGGTGTGAGGAAAGGTGGGGTGTGTTGGCTGACCGACTTCTCAAAGTAGAAGTGCCTCCAGCTCCCGCTGTGGTCCTGACCCGTCCTCAAGACTGGGGCTTCTCTGCTGAGCCCAGCTCCCGAGAGTGTGCTGACTTGTCCCCTGTGTCCAACTTAGAAAAGCCTGGTTGAATTCACAACTGTGAGGAGCACATTCCTTGACTTGGCTGTGAGGTTACACCCCAAGAAGCCCGTCGTCCTAAGTCGAAAATACCACGAGTGCCCGTATACCCGTGACCTTCCCAGCAGCTCAGCAACCCCGCACACCGGAGTGTTACTTGATGAGTCAGGTCAGAAAGGGGCCGTTGCGCCCTCACATCCGGGACCTGTGTGTGTTTCATTATTGACAGGCTGGCCTGCTGTCCGCGTTGGGCTCCCTGGGGTTGATGATGTGGCTGATGGCGACCCCTCACAGCCATGAGACTGAGCAGAAAAGACTGGGACTCCTGGCTGGATTTGCTTTCCTTACAGGTATTAAAGGATTGGTTTAATTTTGAGGGAGGAAAACGATGGAAGCCTTGCTTTATTATTATTCACTAAAAGCCAGTATTTGTCATTATAATGAAGAGTGATTTGTTTGACAAAGTGACAGAGAAAGAAAAGAGGTCCTCTGCTGATGCACTGCCCACGTGCCCCGGAGCCAGGAGCACCGGGACCCCAGCACGCCGCCTCCCGGGCACGTTGGCAAGGAGGCGGCATGGGATTGATGCCAGACACTCAGTGGGGGTCGTCGTGTCCCGGGTGGTGGCTCTCACTGCATGGCCTGTCCCGTAGTTTATCTGATGGGCATGCTTTGTTTTCTGTATGTTCCAATCATACAATTCCTTCAGCTTTTCTCTGAAGTATCTGCCTCTGTGGTGCTTTCTCCCTTCTGGTTTCTTCTAACATTGTACTCCACTCTGGAGTGTTTCGTGCCTTATACAGTGTGTTTCCCCGCCTGGGCTCACCTTGCTTCCCAGCCGTAGGGTGACTAGCGGCTGTGACTTGGGGTCAGGCTCAGGAGCTGAGCTGCTGTGATCATGCGTTACAGTAGTACGGTATCAGTGGCAGGCCTGGGTCTAAAGGGCAGAGGCTTGAACTGATTCTCAGTGCTTGCTGTGGGTTTGCCCGCCCTGGCCGCTGCCACAGCAGCATCTGTTCTGAGCCTTGCACACGGATGTGCTCTCACGGCTGTGTGCTGAGTTCCAGTGTGCAAGACACTTTGCTGATTGTTAAAAAAAAAAAAAAAAAAAACAACTGGAACACTTCTAGAATTTTCATGAACGGAAGAAGGACTTAAGCTGCATAATAAAAATACTTGCAGAGCAGTATTTGAGTTAGTATAGTTTGTTCCAGGAGACAGACTGGCTACCCAGTGTTGACATTTCAGTAAGGAAGAGATAGAAGGATTAAGATTTTATCAGAGAAGGCTTACTTTTGGTGGCATTAAAAGGGTAGGATTAGCAGAAGGGAAAGCAGCGAGAACTGCTGGCGCTCACGCAGAGCTGTCGTCTGCCCGCAGAACCTGTCCTTCCATCCTTTGCTACAGGAGCAGTCGGCCCCGCTTGGCCACAAAGGTCGCTGTCTGCCTCTGGCTTCTCTTCTCTGATTCTGCGTCTGGCCCACGTTGTCCTCTCCAACATCTGAGCTCAGAAATTCTTGACATGCCTGCTCCATTTTTCCCTGGATTTTTATTCCTCCTAACATTATTCATGATTGTTAACTAAGATGACAACTTTGTAGCTTTTGTCTATAAATAGTTCAGGGAGGTATATATTCTCTTGAAAAAAACGGGCATGAAGAGGGCGAGCAGTAGATTGCATTACCTGAGCCACACATTTTGTTTCTTGGGGGACACGATGGTGTGTGTGCTCTGAGCGGCCAGGGTCCCCTTGAGGCATCGGAGTGGGTGTCCTGCTGCTGTGCCGTGTGGGAAGCCGCCGGTGGGATACCTGCCTTCCATGTCAGCGTCACTGCTCCACTTGCGGTTGCAGCTTCCAGCTGTTGCGTGCCCTGAGAGGCAGCAGCTGGTGGCTCAAGGACTTTGGTTCCTGCCAGCTGCTTGGGAGACTCGGACGGATGGAGTTCTTGGCTTCATTCTGGTCCAGCCTCGCCTGTTGTGGGCATTTGGGAAATGAACCAGCAAATAGAAAATTTCTGTCCGTCAAGATTTCAAATATAGTCAACCCTTTTCATTTTTGATTTTAAAAAACCAACATTCACGCTCTGTTCCGGGGTGGTTGCTGTTTTGCAGGAGTTGGCCTGGGCCCTGCTCTGGAGCTGTGCATTGCCATCAACCCCAGGTAATCATTTTCAGAGTGTCGTGTTTTTTTTACTTCTGAGTCTGGGCTATGCACGAATTGCCCTCAATCCAATGGTCTTTCTCCTGACAGCATCCTGCCCACAGCCTTCCTGGGCACGGCCATGATCTTCACCTGCTTCACCCTGAGCGCTCTGTATGCCAGACGCCGCACCTACCTCTTCCTGGGAGGTGAGTGTGCATGGGGAGGGGCTCTGTTCGGCCCGAGTCCCTGTTAGGACTCCCTGCCTACCCGCAGCCCTCATTTGGGGGAAGGTAACTGGGTTTGCGGGAGTGCTTTCCTGTGTATTGGCTTCTCAGGATGGTGTTTGCCCTGTGTCACAGGTATCTTGATGTCAGCCATGAGCCTGATGCTCTTGTCTTCCTTGGGTAACCTTTTCTTTGGATCCATTTGGCTGTTCCAGGTAAGATTTTTGCTTGGCACCTGACAACAGCCTTTTTCTTGCTCAGCCCTAGAGCAGGTGGGCCCAGAGTCCTCCCGGGGTGCAGGCCACAGTAGACGCCTGTTAGTTGCTGTAACTGAACCACCTGAGAGGGGCTTTACAGAGCGAAGGTTCAGTGCTCAGCACCTCAGTGCCTCCCTTGGTTTGGGTATATGGTGAGCCAGGAACCAGAGGTGGAAACAGGGAACACACTTGTCTTGGGGCTGGTCTCCTCAAGGCAGTCATGAACACTCCACCCTAAGCACCAGTGCAGTCCAGTCCCTTCCTGAAGGCCCCACCTTCACTGCCATAACCTGGCTGATTCCAGTTCTCACCCGTGAAAACAAGACACTGGAATTTGAAGGGTACCCAGGCCATCCCCAGGTGTAACATCATCCAACCCCAGCAGGTGGAATTATAGTCTGAGCATGGAGGGTGTTTCAGAGGACATTTGTCTTAATGCGGGTCCAGTTCTTTGGTAAATGCTTGAAGCTCTTCAATGACCTTAAAGTAAAAACAGAATTGTGCCTGGAGAAGTCATGTGGTCTTGGTCGTAGGGTCAGTTGCCGTTGAGTGATTGTGTCTTAGGGTTAGCATTGGATGCGCTTGGATACAGCCAAGAATAAAGTGTGACTGTTATCCCACCTACCGTATTGGTAACTTCATTTTATTTTTTAGGCAAATCTGTACATGGGGCTGGTGGTCATGTGTGGCTTTGTCCTTTTTGATACTCAACTCATTATTGAAAAGGCTGAAAATGGAGATAAGGATTATATCTGGTAAGTGTTAAGAAATGGTCTTTATTTTTTAAAGGTTTATTTATTTGGAAAGCAGAGCAACAGAGAGAGTGGGTAGGAGAGGTAGGGAGATTTCTACCAACCTCTGGCTCCCTCCTCCCCAAATCGCCTCAAGAGCCAGAGCTAGGCCAGGCTGAAGCTGGGAGCCAGGAGCTCCGTGCAGATCTCCATCATGGTGCCGGAGACCTGAGCCCTTGGGCCACCGTCTGCCACTTTGCCCAGTTCATTAGCAGGGAGCTGGATCCAGAGCCAGGCACTCTGCTGTGGCTGGCAGTGTTACACTTGATGGCTTTAACAGTGAGAAAGAGACCGATACATTTTAAACAGTTTTGGTTTTAATTTAAATGGATTGTTTTTAAAATAAAATTTTTTTTAACTTAAATTTTTTTAACTAAAATTTTTTTTAACTTAAAATTCTACATATTTGTGAGGTGTATGTGGTGTTTTGCTATCTTTGATGTAGTAATCCTTTTCCAAGACCTGGCCCTGCACAGCCTTCAGCCCAGGCCCTCCCCTCTGTGGCTTCAGTGAGCTGAAGGCTTCCGAGTGTAGGGGCGTGGGGGGGAGGTGGGGGCTGGAGGCTCTGCGGGGCCGGGGGCTCTGTGGGCACGGGGGCTGGAGGCTCTGTGGGGCCGGGGCTGGAGGCTCTGTGGGGCCAGGGGCTCTGTGGGGCCAGGGGCTCTGTGGGGCCAGGGGCTCTGTGGGGCCAGGGGCTGGAGGCTCTGTGGGGCCGGGGCTGGAGGCTCTGTGGGGCCGGGGGCTCTGTGGGCCTGCAGTTGGTAACCTGCCTCTCCTCTTTCAGGCACTGCGTTGACCTCTTCCTGGATTTCATTACTCTGTTCAGGAAGCTCATGATGATCCTGGCTATGAATGAGAAGGTTAGTGAGCATCACCACGGGCACAGGTGGCTGGGAGCACCCGGGTGCACCTGCTCACACGCTGTGTAAGGTCAGGGGGACTGCCACGCCACGAAGTGAGGAGACAGAGGAGCAGTTAAAACACGTCTTCCCTGGTGTTTGTGATAAGAAGAGAACCTCAGTGGAGGTGGGGCAGCCTGCTGTGGCATCTAGGGACTCCAGGGTCAGGGTCAGGTAGGAGGTGACAGCTAGCTTTGGGGGGAGTTTTAGAAGCCGACTGATTTTCCATCTCTTAGTCTTCATCTTTTCCCGGAAAGGCATTTTGTAGAGTGTTCGTGAGTCTGATTCGGAGTCTGGTCTAACAGTAAGGAAATGCTTGAAGCTGGGGCTTGGCTTCTCACTTCCTGTTCTGAACAGGAAGTGGTGTGGTGGTGCAAGAGCAGGGGACTGTCTGGGGTTGGGACTCCGGCCTGTGCCATGGCCGGACTGGTGCCCCCACTTCATTCCAGAAACAGGTTGGGGTTCCGTTGAAGATTGCAGGAAGAGGCGGCCATGCAGCCAGTCTCTGTGTATCGGCCTGTGCCGTGGGCGCCCATCTGCCCTTCTGCCCAGGCCCTCCCCTGGCCAGCGGCAAGCTGGCGCTCATCGCAGCCTTTGCTAGTTGGGGTTCGAGTCGTGGCGAGGACCATGAGGAAGGTGGTCTTTGTTGTCTGGTCTGCTTTGGGGCTAAGCAGGGGTCACCTGGGTAGTCATAGCCTGAATGTTGGTGCTTTAAGCTGACAGGGCGCTGTTCTCTGCCCCTCTTTCCCAGGACAAGAAGAAAGAGAAGAAGTGAGCGCACGGCCTTCCCAGCTCCACTCCCTCGCCCTCATCCCCCCCGCACTCATTACAGGTGGCGTGCTCTGTGATAATGAAAAGCATCAGAAAAGCTTTTGTACTTTGTGGTTTTCTCTATTTTGGATTTTTTGATCAACAAACTGATTAGCAGAACATAGTTTGGAGTTTGGCTTCGTATTCCTGGGGTTCTTCACTTCTTCTCTGTCAGCCCCGTCCTTAGCCCCTTCCTCCGCTCAGCAGCCAGTCCAGTGAGGAGTGGGAGCCCCGGCCGCCGTGCTCTGTGCCTCTCCACGGGTGCTGGGACTGTTGGGCAGAGCTGGCCAGCTGCCCTCACTGTTGGATTTGTGTGCTGTTGCACGGGACTGGGCAGCGTGGTTTTCTTTGGAAAGAAGGTTGCTGGTCCCGTTGCTAACTGAGGCTTGTAACATGAGAGAACGTCAAGACCTTCTGGTGGACACTCTGCTGCTTCTAGACCGCCCGGCTGGCAAGCACTCCCCGCCTCAGCCTCCTGAGGGAGCCCGGCTTCGTGTGCATTCCGTTCCCACCCCCTCCCGACCCTCAGGGCACCTGCCGGCTCTCTGCTGGCACAGGAGGATTCCAGCAGAAAGGGAAGACGCGTCTGCATCCCCCACCTCGTGCGCTTGTTGAAACCCTGGGCGTTGCCACAGCTCCAGAAGCGTCTTTTGGGTCGCTGTGGTTAGCCGTTACAGGAGAGGAAGGCCAGGGGAGGGGAGAGGCCGAGCCCTGGCACAAAGCATGTCAGACGCAGAGAGGGCTCTGCTGAGGTGGCACACACAGAGCCTGCCAGCGGAGCAGGGCCATGGTGACCCTGCAGCTTCCTAGCGGCCCGTGGCGCGTGTGCTCAGCCGGGCGCCGGTGGATAGTGTCAGACCGGCTGCTCGGGCACTTAATGATGTCTGCTTTACAGATGCACTTTAGCTTTGGATCCGGTCACCTGTTAGCAGAATGCGGTAACCGTCTAGGCAGGCTCCAGGCGCCTGGCCCAGGGAGAGCCCAGTCCTGCAGCTTTGTGGCTGGGCAGTGCTGCAGGCTGCCCCCTCAGCTGGCAGCGGCCGAGGCCTGCCCGAGAGGCCGTCCGCAGTCAGCGTTTGGGGCTTTTCTGTCTGCAGTCCTCGCAGCCACAGTGGCGGCTCCCTGTGTGCCACGGGACTGGCGTCCCGGGAGGCTTGTTCCCAGGCTGCTACGTCGCCGGCAGGATTCACTCCCTCTGACCCAGCTGCTGCCTGCAGCCCCCGGCGTGAGGACCTTTCTGGGGGGTCTTCCTTCCCGTCGGGCCCCCATTAGCAACTCAGAACATCCGGGATTCTCTGCCAGGCTTGAGACTCTGAATGACATCTCCCGAAGCCAGACTCCACCTCTTGTGCTTTTTTTGCTTGGGATAAAGAAATTTTCTTTAGAAACAGTGCCAAGAATGATGAAATATAAAAAAACTACTTTTAAAGAAAACACCTAACAGGTTTTTAATACAGTTATCGCTGTAATTACCACTTTCTTTTCTAGTTCTTGGTTTTCAGCTCAGGCTGCACACTCATACTGTGAAGACAGAGGTGTTTTTGATTCAGAAGTATATGAAAATCTACATAGTCTTAATTTGTAAAAAATAAAGGAAATTCCGTAACCTTTGCCGGTGTTTGTGTGTGTGACACTGGAGGGCAGCGGGGCATGGGGCCGGCGGGGCATGGGGCCGGTGAGGGCATGGGGCCGGCGGGGCATGGGGCCGGTGGGGGCCAGGGCAAAGCTCCGCCTGCCTGACAGGTGACAGGAAGGACTCTGCGCAGGCCCACTCCAGCCTCAGCCGCAGGGAGTATCCGTCCAGTACACAGCCCTGGTCTTGGCCATGTTCTGTTCTTGCCCTTCGCCCTGACTGTGTGGCGGTGGCCGCACATGGAGTTGGTTCAGGTGTGTGGGCGAGCTTTGGAATCCAGTCGGGTGTAGATGGAGCAGGAGAACATGTCTGGTCACTGATTTAGCTCATGGACATCAGTGAGTGAGAGACATGCCCTGGGCCTAGCATTGCCCTGTCCTGCAGGATGGGCTGGTGGTGGTCCTTGTAGACGGACCTTCCTAGGAAAGCCTAGGTGAGCCTGGGTTGGCCTGCTGCACTCCAGGTACCCCTGTGGCTCCCGCAGCACCTCACAGGCTCAGCAGGTGCTGCGGGAGCCCCTGTCCTGAGTGGGAGGTCGAGGTCAGGCCACTCTGGCCATGTGTGTGCAGTCAACCTTGGCTAACAGGAACATTCGCGATGCTTCCAGGCTTGACTTCCATGCTGTGCTTTAGAGATGGGTCAGTACTTCCAGCAGCCTAAGATGATGCTTTTGCCACAGACTGTCGGTTATTCCCCAGGTCACACCAGCAGGCGACTGCAGATCTGCCAGGCATGCTGCCTCCAAAGCCCCTCCATCCCTCACCCCTGTGGATGGCTGCAGGTGCTGGGGCCAGGCCAGGTCTCCCATGTGGGTGGAAGGACCCAAATGTTTGAGCCATCTGGGCTGCTTTCCTCAGGCCACAAGCAAGGAGCTGGATTGGAGGTGGAGCAGCTGGGATTGGAAGCAGCGTGTTGCAGGTGTTGGCTTAACCAACTTGCTGTGCCAGCACCACCAGCTCCAGCCCCTGCTCTTTGCTGTGCACTTGGGTGGGTAACACCAGCTTTGGACTTGAGCTGGGGTCATCCTTCCCGTCCTGGCAGTGACCCTGACTCGGTGTGGGTAGGGAAGTAAGGGTAAAATCTTCCCACTCCACATCTTGGCAACTAGTGTAGAAGGGTGAGACCCCTGCTAGTTACAGACTAAACCTAAGAGGGTGGCAGACCACCTCCACACCAGGCCTGTGGCCTTGCAGTAGGGTGAGGGAGAGCAGCACCCAGCTGGGGGCGGGCGGGAGGAAGCCAGTACCTGCTTAGCAGGCCCCTTGGCAGCTCAGGGGCGGTGCAGCACAGTGCAAACTGCACCCTCGAATCCCAGTGCACCCTTAAGCATGGTCCTGGGAACGGCCCTCTGAAGTATTTTAGTGTAAAAACGCTTTGACATACCAAGTTCACGGAAATGTACATGCCAAAAAAATTTTAAAAAGCTTTACATTAATTCTGACTTCCATGAACTCGGATACTGCCGGTGGCGATGCACAGTCTCCCTGGAAAGCAATTTGCCAGTTTCTAATAAAACCAAATCTATTAAACCAACCCCGCCACTGCACTAGAAAAAACATGGTAATGCAAGAACCTGTTGGTGAATATTCAAAGTAACCTAATTTGTAACAGCAACCCAGACTTCCATCAAGAGGCACATTTTTTGAAGCAAAGATGCCTTCGTGCCGTGTAATAGCACCGTGCAGTAAGAAGTCCTGAATCAGAGCTGCTTGTCTGGTGTCAAACCGCATCGGAAGAGCCTTCCTCGGGGTCCTAGGCCTCACCGCTTTAGAAGTGTGTGAAACCTTTACAAAAGGACGCAAGTTCAGGCCCCCGAGCAGCTGCCGCTGCTGGAACTGGGCAGGACCAAAGCCCAGAGCTCGGCACCTGATCCACGGGCAGGCCCTGATCCAGGGCAGGCCCTGGCACTTTCCCTTGAACCATCCCTGCTTCCTGGGGAGTGCATGAACAACGAGCTGGAACCCAGGCCGGGAACTGAGCTCCAGGGTGGGACACAGGAGCCTGAACTGCTGGGCCAGGTGCCCACTCCCAGTGGGAACCTCCCCCACCCAGCCCTCTCCATCCTGGCCGCACTGCCCACCCGTCGGCCCTCCTGCGTCCCCCCAGGGGCCCACCCTGCCTTCTCTGTCCTGCCCACACTACCCACTCAACCTCTCTGCCCTTAACTCTACAGTGCATTCCCCACACAGTCCCTAGAGGCTCATCTTTGCCCTTGGGATAAAGACCGAGTTTCTTTGCCAGCCCACAGACTTGCGTTGACCTCTGCCCTCTGTCCAGTGCTCCAGCTGTAATGAGCTCATGCCTGTGCTAGAATGTTCTGCTTGCTCTTGCTGTTGTGCATTGGCAGTTTTGCTTTCTGTCTGCCCTACGCTCTCCTTGCCTGACTCAGTCCTGCCCACCCAGCCAGCTGCCCTTGGATTGGCTCTCACCATGAGCCGCTGGATCTGGGCCAGGGGGCCCTGCTGAGGTGTCCTTCAACCTCCACGCCCTCCCTCACGGCACTGCCCCGTCATCGCCCGCCACCTGCTTGGCATCTCCCTCTTGGTGACCTGGTCTGACTGGGGTGCCCAGTGGACCTCCACCAGCGGACAGCTTGAAGAACCGAAGGAAAGACAAGGAGGTTCCCGTCCACAGTAACCTGACTTGACAAAGGTTAGGAAACCCAGACTCCTGCCTGCAGCCCTGCCCGTGTCGTCCACCCGAGGGAACGGGCCCAGGCTGCGGAAAGCCAGAAAGGGAAGAGCTCTGGTCAAGCACATCCCAAGCCTGTTGTGGGGGTCGGGGATGAGTAGAGGGTGATCCAAGCGTTTGGGGTCTGGGTCACAAACTGGCACACAGGATGCACTGTACTTCCTCGCCTTGCCACAAGGTGGCGGTGCAGGCTGTAAACCTCTCAGATGTCTCCATTGCGCCATCTGGTGGCAATCTATTTTCCAATGGCTCCGTGAAAAAACAAGTCCTTTTTTTTTTTAATTTTTATTTTGAATTTTTGAATTACGTGGTACAATTTTGTATAGACTGGGATTCCATCCTCAAAATCCTACCCCCCAATAGATTTCTTCATTTTACTACAATGTTGTAGTACATGTCCAACAGTTCCATTGGGAGTCCATTTTTCATCTGGAAGTTGGAATGAATGTTGCATTATACCCCCACATCTGGATATGGTAGACCCCAGTACTCCGTCACTATACACTTCCATAATTGAGAAGCCATGAAACAAGGTCAACAACTGATATGAGTTAGAACAACCACCACAACAACAACATCAACAACAAATCACAGCACCATGAAAAAACGTGCCACTGAGTAGCCAACACATGGGTGACATCCCATGTGTTGTGATGTTTTTTATTTCAGTTTTATTTATTCCAAATACTTTCTTTTCTCTTGTCGAATTCATGACTGGCTCATGGATTACTCAGTGGCGTAATTTTTCCCAAGAGACTTTTGTGTTTCCTTTTTGTCAAACAATTCCTTTTTTAAAACATAAAGAAATAAGCATGTAACTTATGTGACGAATCACATTTGCTCTTTTTAGTTGGAAAGATTATTCTTGGAGATTTTATTCATATGAAAAGTTTATTTTTATTTGGAAATGACGCACTCCCGTGCCACCCCTGACTTCCCTTCTCGGGCGTCCAGCAGGTTCTCTAACCTTTCTCTACTGATGACCTTGATTGGCCTTTTCCTGAAGAAAAAGAACAGAGATCCAAAGCGCATTTCTTCTTTTGGGAGATTTTTATTTATTTGAAAGGCAGAGTTAGTCTACGGCCATACCACTCTGAACGTGCCCAATCTTGTCTGAAAGGCAGAGTTAGAGAAAGATCTTCCACTTAGCAGTTCAATCCCCAAAGCGCCACAATGACCAGGGTGGGTCAAAGACAGGAGCTTCCTCCAGGTCTCCCACGTGGGTGCAGAGAGACCAGCACTTGGGCCATTCTCTTCTGCTTTCACAGGCCACAAACGGGGAGCTGGGTGGGAAGTCCTGGAGCAGCTGAGACTTGAACCAGCGCTCATACGGGATGCCAGGGCTGCAGGCAGTGGTTCAACCTGCAACATCATGGTGCCAGCCCTCAGCAGCATATTTCCCCCCCTTTTTTTTTTGTAACTTTTTAAAAAAGATGTATTTATGTTTATTGGAAAGGCAGATATACAGAGAGGAGAGACAGAGAGGAGGATCTTCCGTCCAATGATTCACTCCCCAGGTGACCGCAACAGCTGGAGCTGAGCCAATCCAAAGCCAGGAGCTTCTTCCGGGTCTCCCACATGGGTGTAGGGTCCGAAGGCTTTGGGCCGTCCTTGACTGCTTTCGCAGGCCACAGGCAGGGAACCGATTGGGAAGTGGGGCCGCCGAGATTAGAACTGGCGCCCATATGGGATCCCTGCACGTTCAAGGTGAGGACTTTAACCACTATGCTATCGCGCCAGGCCCTGCATATTTCTAAAACAGACATCCTTAGCAGGTGCCTGGCTCCCTGCTTGCGGCACCTGCTAAGGATGCTCTCAGCTCTGCAGTCTGTCCTGTCCTTGCGTCATCAGTGCCAGAAGCAGGAGCACGTGCTTTGGGACAGTCTGGCCCACTGGCACGGTGCTGGGGCGCAGGGAGCACGCCTGGCCTCCAAGCCCGGCTCCCTCTCTCTGGCATCTCTACCTCTGCCCCATGTGTGATGGTCAGAGGAATGAA